GTGATTTAACTGATTTCAAGTCAAGGTAGGGGAATCAAGAGGAAGAGATTGGTTAGTTTCCTTTTATTTCCTTTCCTTTTAGTTATTCTTTTATATAATGGATTTAGGTGGATATGATGCAATTGTATGATTTCTGAGTATTATATATAACACTTTTGTCAACGAATATAGATGTATATGTATGTTTCAAAAAATAAATTTATTTCCACTCATATATGATTTTATTATTGATAAATGAAAATAGAAAGCTCTGGTTATTGTATATTAAAAGATAAAAGAATAATTCTTTCAAATTTGATTCAAGGGCATTACACTCTACCCCTAAATGGATGGATCAATAGAAGTATTGAAAATTCATGATAAGGTATGGCGAGATGAGCCATTTATCATTGTAATAGGTCTCAAGTGGATGTACATTGATGAATGCAGTTGAGGCATCCTATTAGACTAAGGGATTTGAACCTTGTTCCGACATGACCTAATCAATTCGTTCAGCCACTTACCATTTATTTTCATTGTTCAAATGTTTGACAACTTGAAAAAGCCAAGAGATTTACTTTTCTATCCAATAGAGAGGGAGGGTGAAGGTCTTTGACGTCCCTTACAATCAAGAATCAAGGCCTCACAATCACTAGATAATATTTCTCTCATTTCTTCTCTGTTCATGGTTTGATATTTTAGTGTCCTAGGCATAAAGGAACCTTACCAATCCATCCCAAACTTGGGGGTTAAACTCTAGTACAGTGACAATGCTATAGGGGGGTCTTACAAACAAATAGCTCGATGCTAGAATGAGAAAAGCTTAACACCTCTAATTTTTCTTTTTCATAATTCAAAATATCAAAAATTAAAACATCAAAACCCCAATTAGAACATCTATTATCTCCCACTTCAAGCATCAGAATGCACTATTCTTCTAAAGAAAATGCGCTTTTACATATTCTTAACCCAAAATGGATGAGGATAGGAAATGTTTCTTTTTTAATGTACTCCCACGAATAGATCTAATGTAGATGGGGTGGGGCCTATAGCTTAGAGGATTAGAGTACATGGCTATGAACCACATTTATAGGGGTTTAAATCGCTCCTTGTCCACAACTAGCCCAAAAGGGAAGGGTCTTTCCCTCTAGGGGTAGAAAAATCATGATTGAGATTGTGATCACAAAGCTATTAAACTTGAGTGGTAAGATGGAATGGCTAAATTTTTTTTTATTAGTAAGTTTTCTATTTTTATATATTATAAATTAGACGAGAATCAACATATTTGTGTTTGACTCCCCGTAACTCTTCCTCAGCCAGGCTTGGGTAGAATAAAAAAGCAAGTACAAGTATAAGTAACATAATAAAAATGCATTCCTCATCATTAATATGTTTGCTTAGAGTAATTATGGCCTATCAAGAGAATAAATGCCTGCATCTTTGATGCACTATTTAAAAATTTTGAATTAGCTAGTTCTAAAGCTTGGACTTATACCGAGGTATTGGTGGGGACTATCAAATATTATAGACTAGAATGTGATATGCTGACATATAATGTAATAGAAACATTGACTAGAAATGAGTTACATACTCCTAGCAATTAAAACGAGCCATTATTTTTTCATGAAAAATTGAAATGAAGAATGAATCAAATCTCCTCAAGTAGGATTCAAACCTATGGCCAATCAATTAACAACTAATCACTCTACCACAGAGTTACTGAGGAATAATGGAAGATTTTACCTTACAGAGTTCAACCCCCATTCATAATAAGTATGGTCATTGTGGTCATGCTCTATTATAGATTTTTGACCACATTCTCCATAGAGACCTCTTATCTCTTCCTTCTATGAGCTTGGGTTATGGAAGAAGGAATCGAGGAGGTATTAACAATAACTAGTTTTATTGCGGGACAACTCGTGATGTTCATATCAATCTATTATGTGCCTTTTCATTTATCATAATAGATCAATATGAATATCATGAGGTTATCATGAGCTTTCCTTGATGTTTTTCATCATATATGCCCTATTTATATTTATTTGAAGAAATATCCCTAGTAGTCCTTTTGAAAGAAAATGCCCTCAGGTGTGCAATATAATGGTTAATCTTTTATATGGCCACGAGCCATTGACCGTTTACATTACTCAAACAAAGCATCTTCTCTACCACTCACTTTCATAGTTGTCTACTTTTAAATCCTTTAGCTAGAATCTTCTCTTCCAATTTATGTTTTAATAATTTTCTTTGCTTTATTAGAATGAATTAGTTGCCACTTGTAATGTTAGAAATCCTATTGGCTATATTATAAGGAAACAAAAGGATATGGGTTCAACAACTAAATTCAAATAGGAGGTTCAAAAACTATGTTAGAAACCTAAGTTTAAAAATTAATTTTAAATGATTATATGAGGTTTGAATAAGATTCGAGCATCGATATTATCTCTTTGAAATGAAAACTGGGCTAGAACCCTAAGGTTTTACCATTAAAAGGCAAACTTAAGGTTCCAAATAAAGGTTTAATCATTATTCGAATAATATTCAAACCTTATTTAAACAAAGCATTAGACCATTATACTCAACATTGAGGTTTGAGCATTGATACCAATTGAGGAACTAGGTTTTAACATAAGTTCAAATAAGGTTCAAACATAGGTTCAGATTATATTTGAATGAGGTTCAAGCATAGGTTTGAAACATGCCCAAATATTATTCAAATTGTGTTTGAACCTATTGAACAAATGGTTAGACCATTATATTCAAAATTGTGGTTTAAATATTAGTGCAAATGTAGGAACTAGGTTTAAACATATGTTTCAACATATGAACTATATATAAACTTAAATCCAAATAAACTTCATATACTATTTGAATAAAGTTTTGGTTGAATTTTAATATAGGTTTAAATTTTATTCAAACCTTATTCAAATATTATTTATACATTATCTAAACCCCTTTTCAAACTTTATTTGAACCTTATATGAACATTTTCCCTTATTATTTTTAAGGAATTAATTCATTATTATTTTGCTATTTATGCAAATGCACTAACTAAGTATCTTTTCACCAACAGAAGACACATTGTTCTTTAAGGCCCTACTTAAGGATGTATGCATGCCTTTTTAATTATAAGTTCAACATATTTTCAGGAGATACGATATTGTGGTAGCCAAAAGACCTAAGTAGCTGACATTTAAATTATTATAAAATACTCAAAACATCACCTTGGGGTACTAGACTTCTAAAAGTTTTTGGTATAAGCTAACCATTAAATAAAACTTGCATAAGTCCTACACCATAGATTAATATTTGAGTGTTTGATGATGAGTGATATGAAAAATACTTTTGGATGATGTAAAATGCTATTCATCTATAAAGTATTTGAATAAATGACTAATAACTCTTGATTTTAATATTTGATAAGCCAATTATTTGCATCATTCTTTACATATGATGCATAAATCAGTATTAAATTAACAAGACAAGCACAAACCTATGTGAAGTTGTATACAAAATCTTTGGAGCATTTCATGGTTTTTTTGTTGTGTATTTGTCCATTGAATCTCCCCTATGTAAATGCACACTATTTTCTTATATTTATTATCCTCAAGTAATGTTGTAATATATGTATATCATTAATTCTCTTATGATGGTGTGCTGTACTTTAAATTCTCATTATAGTGATACACATGTTGATATAAAATAAAACCAATCACTAAATAATATGTAATTACATTGCTCCAAGACTTTAAGCAATACTTAATTATAATACTATAAGAATTAATAACATTAAATAAAGTTACTTGATAAATCATTACAAATTCAAAGGCTAATTTTTATATCAAATAAAATAACATCAAAATAGTGTCATAATTATTATAAAGAATATTTTAGTGTTTATATTCTCTTGTTATGTAAGCATCCAAAGTCTTAGGTTGTAATAGGGAAGGACTGAAAGGAGAACCTTACGTTCAAAAATAAATATGGTTTGAGCCTCATATTCAATGTTTGAATAAGGTTTGAATTGGGTTCAAAATTAATTTAAATCTACATCTCTACCATTTCAAATTTTTGCATGCATAAGCATAATCTTGTTGAAGTGTTTAAGTTATAAGTGATTAATATAAAATCAACATTACAAATACTTGATGAGACATAATTATTTTTCCTTCTTAAGTATTTATATTGTTCTCGTTATATTAACCTCCAATAATTTTAGCCTATCAACATGATTATGTTTATGTATATATGAATATGAAAGAGTAGAGAGGAGGATTCCAATAAGATTTGAACCTCATTTGAACATGGTTCATACCTTATTCAATCCTTTATGAAAACTAATTTTGCATATAGTATTCGAACCTAAGGTCTGAAACAAATGTTTGAATCTTGTTAAACATGATTTGAATGCAAAGGTCAAACTTAATTCCTTTTTTAACTTAGAATTCTCCTTTCATCTCCTTTGTATTTTAACATAAGATTGTTAGTATGTGCACCATGTAGCTTGAAAGACAACGGTTATGTTAAGAGAGATGTTTGATCATCTATCTCATTTAAACATTCACATTATCATTAAGGACTAAGCCTTATATTGCTATTATAAGGGCGATTTCATCCAAAATAAACTTTCAAACATATTTCTCCAAATAAATAAATAACGGAGGTATTTGTTTAAATAGGTATATTATGAGGCGCACGTACACACACACACATATGATTGAAATATACATTTGTTTATTTAAACACTAAAATTAAACGCTAAACAAAATCTATTAAAGTCGAAACATGAAAAAAAGACAATGGGTCTTTTTCTTGTAGGGCACAACTTTTTATAAGGTCGGTTGTGAAGTTGTTGTGGAAAAAATAACTTAGTTATTTCTGTTGAAAAAAAAAAGCTTTTCATGACAAAAATTATTTAAAAGCAATTAGAAAGTAGTAGTTCAATTAAATCATGATTGCTGCCTGAAAAATAAAGCATCTAGAAAACTATCCTAAATATACCCTAAATTAGAATTATGTGTTGAAATACCTAGACGGGGTCTAACGGGTGATCAACAATGCCTGTTGCCTAGATCCGCGACCTTCATTGCACTTTGAAGGGGCACTGGTCTACCATATGCCCAAGTGGTAGAGTGGACGTCATAATTTGTGTATATTATATTTTACACACATATTTGCATTTTATTAGTTTGGTAGATTTTGTTTTTGAAATGATGAGAATCATAATTTAAATAATTTTAAAATTATAAACAAATGAAAAATTAGAATGAACAAAAAAAAACATAAAAACTATAATATCAATAAATCTCTACTATTTTGAAGAAAGACAACAACCACAAAAGATTATAAATAATAGAAACTTCATACTAGTAGATAGCTAGGGTGGAATTGGATGATAAAGTGTTTAAATCAACTTTAATCGTACGAAAGACTTATCCATCAATAGCTGATAGAATTTGCCGAAAACATATCAAATGCAATCGAAAAAAAAAAAAACAATCAAATTGAGTGATCATTATCGTCGCCCAAAACTTATCCTGTAAGCTTATATAAAATGCTATCAAATATCAAGCATTATATCAATCAACCATCAAATTTGCAAAGTTATCAAACCCTATCAATATTATAAACTAAAAAATGACCAAGACAAAATTGATACAAGCCAACTAGACAATATGCTCCCATAAAAAAAAAATAAAATCATATTGCCCAAAATCCAAATATAGTACGGGCAGGTCTCTCTTTAATAGTTTTCATTGTTATTTTTCTTTTGTTCAGGTTTTATTAATTTGGTCTTTCCCTTTCTTGCTCGTGATCTGGTGGCAATGAAGCCACCACCTGTCGGTCACGCCTGAAAAGTTCACGACGGTTCCAATACCCATCCTCTTCCGCACCTCTTCTTTTTACCTAGCTAGGATCGGCTCAACTACGGTTTCCTTTTGGCCGCGGGATCTGTTCTCCGAATTCGAGCAGGCTCCTGCAAACATGCCTTTCTAGGGTTTACATTTCCTATCCCTCATCATTATATTTGTCACCTGCCTTCCATAACATGTCATCGGTGGCCGCAGATCTACCGGAATCCCACTGGTGGTGCGTCCATGGTTTATCTTCTTTATTGTCGTCGCCGGAGTACGAAATCGACAACTTTGATCGACTTCCAGACTCGATACTCATTGTCATCTTCAACCGGATCGGTGATGTGAAGGTGCTTGGACGGTGCTTCGTCGTCTGCCGCCGTTTCCAAGCCCTCGTTCCCCTCGTCGACAACGTCGTCGTCCGCGTAGACTGCGTTATATCGGAGGATCCTTCTCTTTCCTCCTCGTCGTCCTCATCCTCTGCCATTTCTGGTTCTATATCTTCCGATAAAACCCGCGGCGTTTTTTCTCACTTTGCTCGTTTCGTTTTCGGAGGTATTGTGCGACCCTTTTATGCCCTTGGCCAGATTTTGTCTGTTCCCTCTAAGCGCGTTTCATCAGCGAATTCGGCTTCATCCTCTTCCTCATCCGAAGTATCACACCATTCCCCCACCGAGGTGCTGAAGAATTTCAAGGAGCTCCGGCGGCTTCGGATCGAACTTCCAGCCGGTGAGCTTGGCGTTGATGAAGGCGTTCTTCTCAAATGGAAGGCTGATTTTGGCTCTACCCTCGACAGCTGTGTCATCCTTGGAGCCGCATCTGTGCTCTCCTCCAAATCTGCAAATGCTAACCCTGCACACGATCTTTGTGTTGGAGAAGACAACGGTTGCATTCCTGAATCGTTCTATATGAACGGTGGACTGAAGCTTAGGGTTGTATGGACTATCAGCTCCCTCATTGCTGCCTCCGCTCGGCATTTCCTTCTCCAACCCATCATCAGCGATCATGAGACATTGGATTTTTTGGATCTCATTGATGCAGATGGCCAAGGTGTACTGACCATGGATAGATGGCAGCTACAAGATCTGCGAGTGAGGCCCGTATCAGCTTCAGGTTCTTCACAGCGGACATTGGTTCCAGCACTCAGCATGAGGCTGTGGTATGCCCCATTGCTTGAAATTCCAGGTGGATTAGTTCTTAAGGGGGCAACACTGGTAGCTATCCGGCCTAGTGAAGAGTCACAGAAGGAAGTGGTGGGAGGTTGCAGTGTTGGCGAGCCATTAGATTTGTCTTGGGTGTCAAATGCCTTGGAGGAGCCCTACAGAACTGCAGCGAAGATGCTTGTGAAGAGGAGAACATATTGTCTGGAGATGAATTCATTCTGAACATCGAATGATTGGAAGAAATATGCTTCCCTCTGGTAATGACATATCTTGATTTGTAACTATAACCGAAATTAGGAACTTAGTCTTAGTGCTTGCAATATTTGTCCTTTTTTTTCTGTTTGAATTGGGTAAGATATCTGATGTTGTCTCTTGCTACTAATGGGCATTTCATTTAAATAATGTATAGAAAGCAATATTAGTGCATGAACATTGTGGTTTTTATAGTTATTCAAGATGCGAGCAGCACTCTAATGTGTTATCCTGTATTGTTTGTTCAGTTTATATTGTGAAATTTAACTGAATTAATTGTTTATTTTCTCTTATGGAGCTATATTGTTGGCTTTAAAGTTATATCTGGAAGCTTTTTTTCATGTCTGGCTTGTGATTTTTATCGTCTTTTTTGGTTTCTGTTTGCTTTATCATTTCAACCTTATCGGCTTTTGACTTATGTGATACCTTTAAGGAATGATGCATGTATTTTTAGTTTGCTTGTATCAAGAGGCTTGTCATTTAGGAGAAATTTAACCTTGAAAAATTTGGTCTTAAGTGGCTAATTTGCATTTACACTCAAGATGTATTAACCTTGCTATTTGATCACTAAAGTATTTCTCTTATAAGAATCTGACGATTAACAAATATTCTTGGAATATTGAAATTAGTTGATAATACAAGGAATGTGAGTTTATTTATGGATGGCTAATCAATCATGTTTATAAGTTGCTTTTGTTGCTTTCTTTTGGGATTAATGCAACACAGTATGAAACTATGCTTGCTCATGTGATGTTTTATTTTTGAGCATTATTTGTATTAGATGTGCATATCATGATCATTGGACAGACACCTTTTTTTTTTAAACATGTGATTTCCATAAAGTTTTGGTTTCCTCTTGTTCTATTTTTATTTTTTTTTTCTGTATTTCCCACAATTTATGAAATTTCTATAAGGGTGTCAATTTCGGGTCACGGGTCGGGTTCGGGTCGAACCCGTAAGTGACCTGGCACTATTCGGTCAATCGAACCCGTTTTTACAAATGGGTCGATTTTCCGGACCCGAACTCGACCCGCTTCGGGTTCAGGTCAACCCGACCCGACCCGCAGACACAGCAACGCCAGACAGCGGGGCATCGAGGCAGGCAGGCCGATGCAGACGCGGACAGTGGTGGTAAGCTGCGGTCATTCGGGCAACTCGGTCATGCGATCAACGGGTCAATCTGGGTCATTTTCGATTTTTCGGGTTAACCCGAACCCGACCCGATTTTTTAAATAGGTCAAAAACTCTAACCCGAACCTGACCTGATTTGGGTTCAGGTTGACCTAAACCCGAATTTTCTGTGTCGGGTTCGAGTCGGATTTTCGAGTTGGCACCCCTAAATTTTTGGTCTTTTTTCTTAGAACGTGGTTATCTATTTGCCTTGCTATTTTACTATTAAAGCATTTCTCTTGTTTAAATTGTATGTTTTGCTCTGCCATGACATTTTAGAATATTGAACTTAATTTTTCACCCATTTTCAAATCCTTCACTATTTTGAAAATTGATACTTTTTCCTGTATTTCAAAGCATGGAGCTTATGATATATTTCTGGTTATCATATACTCTTTTCAGGTATGCGTGGATGTGAGTGATGGGAAGAAGAAATTTTCTCTATGTTGGTAATTAAATTTTCCTGATATTATTATTTTGGCACCAACGCAGAAAATCAACCTTCCTTTTATGACGTGAATTGATGATCTTACAAGCTTATAATGTAACTTGTTTTTCAACAATTAGCTGCTTCGAATGTATATCTTTGACTTTTTGTACATGTAAAAAACTGTGTTCTCAATCAGATATTTATTTTAATATTTTGCAATCAAGAATTACTACCACTTCATTATAGACCTCAACTGCACGTCTAGTATGCTTCAGTTTCAGTTTAAACCTGTCATTGAGGTTTCGTTTGGGATAGCTTTCTTATTGCTTTGTTTTTTAGACTGTAACAATATTTTCTTTTTTATCATTAATTTTTTACTGATTTCATGAAAAGTTTGTCCCGGGAAGCTGTTTTTTATAGTAGCTTTAAAAGGGTAACTTTCTTCACAATAGTTTTACAACCATCTTTATAAAAAATTGTATCCGTCCCAAATGAACTCTAAATCTATTGATGCTACATTATGCTCCGTGTATATATATACAAACACACACACATTCATACATACATACATACGGAGTAAAATAGATAACTGATTGAAATAAGGAAGTAATACCCACCGGGTTTAGCTTGGTTGATTGGCGAGCATGTTTGGGAACCCCTAGCTCATGTTCGATTCTTCTCCCGAGCGGCTCGCCTTCTTTGAGGGGAGTACACTAAGCGTGGACCCGACGTCTGTGTGTTGGCTGCCGCTAGGTCCATTGAAGGATTAGGCACCAAGTAGATACCCCGGTTCCAAAAAAAAAATGATAGTAATATCTGTTTATGTCAACTGATTTGCTCGACTTATTAAATAATGTGATTTGTTTGTTGTAAACATTTATATTTATCTTTCTAGAAAAATAATAGAAATGTTTTGCTGTTTATGGACAATCATTTGTCATTGTTGTCATGCGCACTCTTTTTCTTATTAGGCAACTTTGGTTAGGATTTCATTTCTTACAAACTGGCTTCTCTAGTAGATTTAGCATCCTCTTTTCTGTAATATTTTGCACGCATTCGATCAGAAAATCTCAAATTTTTCCTTGGTAGTGGGCATCCAAATTCCAGTTTGCAGTCCTAGTTTGGCCTTCAATAAATGTATGTTGTGATCATGAATCTTCGAACTTGTTCAGCAAGTAAAAGGGGGCATAAGTTAGTGTACAATAAAGTTTCCATTGAAATGACGCAAATGAAATGGACCTGGCCTACTTTTTCATTAATTTAAACACCTGCATGCAGGCTCCATTGGACTATAGTGGACTAATGGAGGCTAGTAATTGTAGTAAGGTAATCTTCACCCGACCTCAAATGATCGTTTGCAGTTACTGTGAGCTCCAACCGAACGTCAGATTCAGCGGCATTTTGTGTCAGGTAAATAGTATAACGTCAATATTGACGTTGCACTGTTTAAGAACATCATTTTTTCTCTATTTTGTTCGGTTGGAGTTTGGTTGGGGAAATGATATACTTGGTATATATTTTTTTTGATGTTATGAAATGGAGTTTGGTTGGAGCGATTTATTGCATTTTGGAGTTTAAAATGAGTTATTATGAATTTTATTGGAGATGCTAAAGTTGAAGGTTGTTTTTGGAAGTTGTTGGTGCTTAATTTTTAAGCGGATCCTTTTGAATATATCATATGAGCTTAAATTTTTTAATATTCTTTTAATTTTAAGATAATATGAAAATTTAAAAGAAAACTCTAAATTCATTTACAAATTCAAAAGCATACTTAATAAAATAATAAAATGTGATCTTATATAAATAATAAATATAATAATGTAATTACCAAATGTAAACTTAAATTTTGTAACAATAGTGATAAGCAATTTCATCAATTTCAAGAAAAATTTATGTTTTATTCAAATATTAATAAGTTTTATGAATACAAAATAATTTAAAAAAAATTATAGATAAATCTCTAATAATATAGAATTGTAATTTAAAAAAATATTAATTGTGTGCTCAATATTGTTGACAATCAATAAATTTAGAAAGAATTCTAAATATTATTTAAGTGTTGATGAGCGACTTGACAGGATATCTCTGATACGAACTTAACTCAAAAAATTTAGGTTTGGGATGATCTAATTGAATTTTTGGTTGTATTTGGATTGACCCGTTAAGTTAAATTGATTTGAAATTATCTTGATTACTATTTTGGTTTGGATTTAATGAGTCGTGTTTGTGTTTGGATTGACCCGTTAAGTTAAATTGATTTAAAATAAATAAATATATATATATTTCATTTTAAAATGTAATTATGTATATATCATAACAATTCTCTCTCCTTTTTTGTTTTAAGGATAGATCCTGGTTAAGTTCTGATGATTTTGTATACTTAACTTTTCCTTGAGTGCCCAATCCTCTAACTAACTTATTACAACATCATCATCATGGCCATTATATGGGATCAGCTAAATGAATATGTTATTTTTCTTTTTATTTTGTTAAGAGTCAAATTTTCATTGAAAACTAATAAAAAAATGTCATTATAAATATTTTCTTGCCATGTCTTTTTAGATCTACATCTACCTTTCATAACATAGGCCAAATCTAATACATTTCTTGTAATCGGGTCATCGAAAGGATTTTGTTTCTTAGATCTACCTCCACATTTTTATAACACTATCGTTGTCAGGTCTCAAGTTCTGGATAAGAAAAATAAAGAGTTAAGTTTGGTTGTCGACAGGCTGTATACGAATAATTATGTCAATCTAAATATTATTGTTATAAAATGATTATGATGCAAAAAAAAAAAAAAGTTTAGTAAATTATTAGATAAAATAACATAAGATTTGCTATTATTATTTAGTGAAGTCGGGCCAGTTTTATTTCGCTTTGTTCCAGGCATACTTGATTATTCAGGCCCATCCAAAATCTTAGAATACAAGCTTTGGAATAAACTTGCAAATTCTTGCCATTGACTTCTAGATTTCGACTCATTACTAGTGACTTCCTCATCATCAACTCCATGGCCAAAAACCCCCTTCTGTACTTATTATATTCTCACACGTTCACCTTGTAACTTTTTTTTTCCTCTTGTTGCTCTGCCATTGAATCCTTAACAGCCCTATGTCTCATCTGCCAGCACCCCATTTCATGAATTTTTAGTGGGTGTGTAGTGCGGACGTAGCTCTTTGTATGCAAATCTGTAACAAAATGCCACGTGGAGCCCACCTTGACCCCACCGTTCTAATAACCACGTGTTCTTTTCTATAGCACGGCCTGACGATCAGAACCGTCCGAAAAATTGAAGAAAAAAAAAGCTTGCATGCCCAATGACCCGTCCCGAAATGAATTTGTATATTTCGTTTCAATTTTTCGAAATGATCCGAAACGTCTCTTCCAGTTTTCCTTATTCGGGCGTTTTGGTTTTCTACATTACTCCATAAGGAATAGTTGCAGGCAATATTCATCTTCTACACAAAGCCACTTCATCTTCAGTCTTCATCTTCTACATGGTGAAGGTATGTTTTTTCTATAATCATCTGTGTTTATCACGTTTTAGGGTTTAGGGTTGAATTGGATAGCAGCTTCTGTAATGTGTAGTGGGTATTGGTATGTAGCTATCCGTTTTGCTCTGTAAGCCGTGTGGGTACCGCTGGGTACCACTCCTTTTGTTCGTTTTGAAATGCATTGTAAGTTCCATTAGTTATAGGGTAAGTGGTTAGGTTTTTTTTTTTTTTCTATTGAGAGGAAACCGTTTTATATGTATGTACCGCTTTGTACCTTCTGAGAAGATCTGGGTACCGTTCTGGGAGCTGTTGTGAATAGTATGTACTAATAAGTTTATCTCGGTACTGCTTGGTACCTACAGTTACCACTCAGTACCGAGCAGTACCTGGAGGTACCCGACCTGGAATGCATTTTTTCCTGATCAAATATAGCATATTACGCAGAGATATGTTCTGAAGATTAGCTTTCGTTGTAGAATATCGACTTTTAGAGAAGTCTATGATCATTTAGTCGAAACATTTGGCCAAAACTTTGTGGATAGTTTGAAGCAAAATAATCTTCATTATTTTCTTTTGATGTCACACTATGTACAAAATGTTCCGTTGGTTTTTAAGTTTTTGTCGTACTGGGATATTAAGAAGCAATGTTTTATCATTAAAGACCAGAAGTTACCATTTACTGCCGATGAAGTTTCTAAAATTTTAGGCGTGTCGAACAGAGGAAATAATTTTGAATTAGGAAGCGCCATAATAACGGGAAAATCAACAAATGATATTAAGGAGGTTCTTTGTTTAGATGAATCAACTCCAGTTCCCGATGTAGTGAAGAAATTCATCATTTTCTTCTTGTCAAACATTTTCTTTCCTCTGCACAATTACCGAACACCAGCTACTATCCTCAGTGTAGCTCGTAATGTAGAGAATTTTTTTCTTACAATTGGCCGAAATCAATTAAAGAATTCCTTGTGGCTAACTTTGATGCAATTATAAAGAAGTTTAGCAAAGGACAACCACTTGGATACTTGAATGGTTTTGTACATGTTATAATTGTGAGTACATTGAATTACTTTTTTATATATGAATGATGTAAAATCTTTGAATATCCTTTTTATGCTGCCATCCTTGAGTTTTGGTTGCAGATATGATTTCTAGAGCACACTCCAATCTACAAACAAGTGGATTCAAAATCAAGACCATAGTTTCTTCGATGGGGTTGTGATATAATTTATAACGAAGCAGAGGCCACTAGTTTATTGGAAGGACTTGAAGCTGTAGATATAATAAATTCTTTTGACAGAATAACCAGTGAGTAGAGGACATTATCAACAATACCTCTCCCACATACATCTATAGATCAAAGATCTACATCACCTGAAAGATTCTCCAACTTACAACTCACATTGCACAAACCTCACGTAGTTGTTTCTTCACCTTCGACATCACCTACACCCTCGAAACCCCCAAGCCCATTCAAACCACCCAACCCACCAAGCACCCATAACCCCCCACCACCCAAGTCACCCACAACTCCCCAAGTCACCTGCCCCTAAGTCACCTGGGCAGCAGCAACCAACTTCCCCAACTAATTTACACCATGTCAGTATTGAAGAATCATCCACAAGATATTGGATCAAAATAAAATTCTTTAGAAAAGGTTAGTTAATCTGGAATCAACAACAGCTTTGATAGAGCGAAGAATGGCTGTAGTAGAACATCATATTTTCGAGCAGTGGGAG